TGCAGTACTGCAGGCTACTTCTGCTGACTGCCGGCTGCCTGCAATTTGGCAGTTCCAATCTCACCAGGCTCCAGGTGGACTCAGCCTTCCATCCTTCCGAGGTGGGTAAAATGAGGACCCAGATTGTTGGGGGCAATATGTTGACTCTGTAAACCGCTTAGAGAGGGCTGAAAGCCCTATGAAGCGGTATATAAGTCTAACTGCTATTGCTATTGCTAGATATATATACTCATTGTGCCCAGAGAGAGAAAAATATCTGCCTCTATCTAGGTAAATCTGTAAATCTGTTTAGCATTGTAGCCAAAAGAGCTTGACCTGTAGCACAAGAGTTCAATGGTCGTGGGAAATCAACAGGCGGTCCTTGACTTACAACCATTTGTTTAATGACTATTGGAAGTTACACTGAAAAAAATGTGATTATGACCCTTTTTCAAAGTTACCACCTTTGCAGCATCCCCTGTGAATCATGTGATCAAAATTCGCTTAGCAACCGGCATGTACTTACGACGGTTGCAATATCCCGGGGTCTTTTGAGACCGCCTGACAAAAAGTCAATGGGGAAGAAGCCAGATTCGTTTTAACAACCGTGTGACCAATTTAAACAAATACAGCGCTTCACTTAACCACGGAGGCAAGAAAGGTCGCAAAACGGGGCAAAACGAACAAACGCCTCACTTCACGACAGAAATTTGAAACACCATTGTGGCCGCACGTCAAGGACTATCTGTTCTTTGCAGGCCATCTTAACTTTTTGTGGAATCTAAACAAAACCACTTCCTTTCGGCTTCGACGTTGGTTCCTTGGGGAGGGTAGAATTTGATACAAAGTACAAATATATCGAAATAATCATTCTTTTATTTTGTGGGTTGTCTTTATTCAGTTAAATATCACTACGTCGGCAAGCTGCTGAAGGATGGGGAAGAACCGACAGTCTATTCCGACGAAGAAGAGACAAAGGATGAGAAAGACCGCAAGAATGATTAGCGAACGGACCAAGGAGCCTCCCCAATGCTAGCTGGTTTCTTTGCTTTTAATTTTTAAGGGACATTTTTATCATATCACACACACACACCCCTCTCTTATTTTACCCTTTCTTAATATCAGCCGTTTTTAGACATATTATTACTTGCAATGACATTGGTCTCAACGCTGCACTTTTTAATCGACTTTCCTAAGTAACTCAGTGCTAACTTTTTTTCCAATGCGGGCCACGGGGCTCGGCGGGCAGTAGAGAAATGGCCGTAACTGGCTGGTGGTATGTAAAGGACCACTCCAGCCAAGGAATGGCCGTAGGATTTCCCTTTCGTTTAATGGCGCTTGGCAGGATGTCACTCTTGAGGACCCTGTTGAACGGACATTGCAACGTCTGAAGGTTGACCCTGGACCAGAAAATATCTCCTTGTAGGAGATACTGCCCTGTCCTTCAACCCCCTTTTGGGTTGGTGGGCATTCAGAAAGGCTCCCTGTATTTTCCCAGCCCTTTTCTCTATCCTTCTTCCTTTTATACAAACTTGTCTTCCTAAGATTGCCCCTTCGCTTGTGTTATCCTTTGAACTTCGTCCTTCACATGGATTCCTTTCCCCGTGTGCATTTTCTGCCGGGGGGCGGGGGGGGGGTTATCTCATTTCCGACCCTTAGAAATGCAGAATGTAGTGGGTGGTTTTATTATCTTTTTCTTTTTTTTAAAATCCTAGCTCATGTAGCATTGGAAGCGGTTTGAAAAGTGGTTTTTATAGAGATACTTCTTCGCACCCAACTGATGGGGCCCTAGCTTTGAAGCAAAACAACTTTCTCTTTTTTTTAAAAAAGGATGCAATACTTTTATTATAAAACAGTAGAATAAAGATAAGAATTAGTATGGAATGTGACCTCACCATGGGTGCAAGCGGCAGGGAGGAGATGAGGTGCTCTTCTTGGGAAGAAGGTTCCCAAGATGTCCGGTTCCCTTATTCCTTCAGGGAGTTTTGAGAGAGGCATTGTCCTTGAGAATGTGGCCTTGGTTGTGTTTTTTTAACCACCTGGGTCAGCTAGGCTTGATGGAAAGCATGCTGCACAGCTTAATTCTCTGCAGAGAGGGGAGGCTCCATGTTTACTTCAAATATCAAAGTCTCTAGGCGCGGCTTCAAAAAGGGGAAACGCGGCCCGAAACCGTTCTCTTTTGAGAAGGAAAGTTTTCATCTTTCGACTAGGCTCATCCACTGCGGTGCATATCTTAACAAGTTTGGTTTAGTTCAAGGGTCGGCAACCTGCGGCTCTGGAGCCGCATGTGGCTCTCTCATCCCTCTGCTGCGGCTCCTTGTCGCCGGTCGGCACCACAATTGACAGGGCTTTCGGTTAGGACAGGTAGAGGAAAAAGGACGCTGCACTAGGAGGAGGCTACGGTGGGGCAACCGGATTTCCGGTTGGCTCCAGAATTGAACGGGGGAGAGAGAGGGGGGGGGCTTCTGGTTAGGACCTTTGTGGCTCTTTGAATGTTTAAGGTTGCCAACCCCTGTTCTTAGCTGCAATGCGATCATCAGGGCTCACTTATAATTGGTTCATAATTAGTAAGCTTTAAGATCTTAGCAGGATCTTAATGACGTGGGCAAGTAGTCCAGCTTTCTTGATTTCAGATATTAAATCCAAATTTCACTATAGGATGATGGATCCACTGCCCAGATATTCTACTAATTCTTGGGTACATTTGTGGGTGCAGTTGAGGTTCAGTTCATTTTGTGCGGTTGTTCGCAGCAGTGAAACGGGCGGGATTTAAGAAAGTGGGAAAGGACCATGGAACCAAGAGACACGTTTCAAAGAAGTTATTCCGAAGTTTGTTTCTTCCCCCCCCCCCTTTATATACTCACCATTTTGCTCTAAAACAAGAGAGACCTCTTCTCTGCTTCTAAAAAAAACACTACTTTTCACAACAAGCAATAAATATTGTAACTTCAGACTTCTACCTTTGTAAATTGAAAGTACAGGTTTTAGATTTTTGTTGCCTATTCCCATTTCCCCCCCAGATGTAAAACCTTCTTCAAAAATCTTTGCCTGTTCTTGCTTGTTGCCCTAAAGACAATTAACTGGCTGAAATGTTGTGACCTACCTCTGGGCTTCGTTAGGATAATTAACAAAAAGCTAATTTTTTTAAAAAACCGCTTCTTTCTTAAAGTCACCATTCTTGCAGAGTTGATGCTGAACGATGTTTCGAATTCAAAGGCGGGATTGGTCGTACTTGCTTTGTTTTTAAAGGCGAGGAAATAAAATTCTTCCTACAAATGTGGTTTTTCTTTGATTTAATATAAGAGGTGCGGAATTCTGCGCTCCAAAATCACCCGGGGAAAGAAAGGGGATGAGAATGGAATATCTTTTCCAGGGCTTTGAAACTGCTGGTGATGTAAAGCTAATTGGGAACCTGGTGCCCATTTCAAATTTTTTGGAAGACGCATCACGCAGCACGTTGCTCAATGCCAAATGCAGCCTTAAAAGCAGGAGTGAAATGCTACCGGTTCGTCCGAACCAGTAGCAAAAAATGCTTTTAAAAAGTTTAAAAAAGTTCCGACGATCACGCGGCATAGCTGATTGTTGCAAGTTTTTAAAAACTTTTTAGCATTTTTTTACTCTTCTCTATGCTGCTTCAGTTTTCAATATTCCGAATGGCTTACACACACATGTACACACTCTTAACACAACCGCAAAGTCGGCTCTTAATGGGATGCCATGGAGACAGCAAGATCTTCAAGCTTCTTCAAAGCCCTTTTAGATCATAAAGCACTCGGTTTAGAGGGGGTGTCAAGTCTAATGAAGTGATGGAGTAGATGCCACGTAGATTAGTTGCTTATTACACCCCATGAAAAGTGTGGCTCACCCCAACCCACTTTTGACTTTTAGACGGTTCTAAATATAAACCTGGACTCCAGCTACTGGCCGTTTTCTCCTAGGCTGAGAGACATTCTTAAAAAAATAAATAAATAAAGGAGTTACAATATTGGCCAGGGGTATCTCGAACCTTGGTGATTTGAAGACCTACGGACTTCAACTCCCAGAATTCCCCAGCCAGCAGAGGCGGCCTTTCATCAACGCATAAAGCTCTTTCCCAACCTAGTTGCCCCCTCGAGATGGGTAGACCTCAACTCCCAGAATTCCCCAGCCAGCAGAGGCGGCCTTTCATCAACG